CCATGTGCATATAGTAAGTTGCAGAGAATAGATTATATGGTGGCTTTTTAGTCTTCATGCTTTATATAGCAGTACTTTTTTTTTTTTTCCAGAGAGGTCTTAAAGCTTAATTCAAGTATACTGGTGCCAGTTTTAATCCTTCTAGTAGCTGCATTTTTAGTCTTCATGCTTTATATAGCAGTACTTTTTTTTTTTTTTTCCAGAGAGGTCTTAAAGCTTAATTCAAGTATACTGGTGCCAGTTTTAATCCTTCTAGTAGCTGCAATAGATCTGTGGGTCTAATTTTTAACACTTATGTCTGACATACACATGAACTACTTTTAAACAACTCATATTTGTATGAAAAGCAGTGAAGGACTTCCTCTCCTGACTGGTCCCAGAGACCATCACAGCCCGGTAAGTACAACAGTAGCAGCAGAGAGACAAGTAATAGGTCTACACTAAAATAAGCAGGATTTATAAAGATTTCCTTCTCCTCAGCCCCACACGAAAATGTTATATGCTGTCCAATCTTTACAACTTGACAAATTAGCAGGTCCGTAATTCTTTGGAAAAGGGACAGGAAAGCATACATCATAAAACCAAAAAAGATCCTGTGATGTGAAGATATTTAAGTTCTTCCACTTAACAATATTTTTTAAAAAGTCTATATGAAAGACTTAGAAAATTGTGTGCCCCTCAGGGCATGTTATTCTCCCATATACCAAACAACAGGAACTTTATTCACATTTTTATCCACAAAACCCCTTCAGCCTGAAAATCTATCAAGAAGCTGCACTGAACAGGGACTGTACTCTTTCCCAGTATTCCCTGGTGGTAATTGATCCCACTTATGTTCTTCATTATTTTATCATGTCAGCATAGCACGTTTTTTCCCACTGCGTAACCACAGTTAATATAGTTTTCATTGTACTATAGCAGAAATCTAAGAACATAAGCTCTAAGAGCTGAAGGGGTAAGAAAGATGGGAATGAGCCATTAGTGCCTGGGCAGCCTTAGGTCTCAGTTGCACAGCACAGCTGCAGTTGCCAAACTAAAAATCTTTATGTTTACAAATGTAGCTGAACTATTCGTACGGGATAAAAACAAAGGCCTTGTAGAATTATTTCGTGTCTTTATTGACCATTTACTTTACGACTAATAAAACCCCAGATCTATGCGCTTTTCAATATGGGAAGAATGAACTGCTTTTGAGAGAATTAATGAGTCACTGCCTTTTTCAATTTCAGAACAATGATTTGGGGGGGGTGGGAAAAGAAAAAAAAAAGAATCCCATTTCTTGATCATACCAGGTTAGTCATAAAAAGCCATCTATATTAGAGCTTGTACAAAATGAGAAGATGGCCTTTGCGCAGTTCCTGCAGACAGTGTGCATACATCAGCAAACACTTGGAACTATTCAGCATTTACTGCACACTTTCAATTTCAGAACAATAATTTGGGGGGGGTGGGAAAAGAAAAAAAAAAGAATCCCATTTCTTGATCATACCAGGTTAGTCATAAAAAGCCATCTATATTAGAGCTTGTACAAAATGAGAAGATGGCCTTTGCGCAGTTCCTGCAGACAGTGTGCATACATCAGCAAACACTTGGAACTATTCAGCATTTACTGCACAGATTGGGACAGTGCTGGTCAAAACCTTCTATACTGGAGTCATGTGGGAAAGAAAGTCTAGGCATCATAGATTTAACTTACTTCATCTAAAATTATTTTGTCTACAATATGTATTTTAACGTTTGTTGAAGGCCAAACGTATTTTTGCTGTATTATGGATTATGTATATGGCAGCTTAACTCATGGGGGCAGCTCTTATTATTAATTATTATACAAAATAAATTCAAATGACCAAACTCTTTTAGTAAAAAACAACTTTTAACTTCTTCCTCTCAAATTATCATCTCTCAGAACCTAGTAGAGAAACTGAAAGCACCCTTGATGCTGTTAACATCCTGATTCAAACTTTGGTGGAGCTGGATATATATCTGATATCATATTATCACATTTTAAAGGACCATCATCATCTGAAACCTTTAATCTTAGGTTAAAACCTTAACCTAACCTAAGGTTAAAAATATTAATTATGCAAATAGCACAAGATACTACCTCTGTTGAATCTTCTTCTCCTCCACCCAATAGGGAAACATCATTGTGAAGTTATTTAATATTCACACACACACACACCCTGTTGTTGGGATGCCAGTGTCTTGGAAAATGAGCCTCAGCAAATGCAGTGCAACGCAGGGAGAGGCCTGATACCGGAAAGCACCTGGTGTACTCAGTGTCTCCCACAGGCTTCCTCTACCACACACAAAACCTAAGTTACAGAGAGGCTTCACGAGGTGGTAAATTGCTCCTGTGACATTTGTTGGGGAGAACACAAGTAAACAGGAGGGAAAAAAAAAGAGTATCTTTGAGACATCAGAACTGGAGAAATAGAAGCTGGCTCTTTTGGAAGTATCTTGTAAGCTAGGCTGAAACGAGCCTTGACGTACACAAATAGTGGACTTCGCATACCACACAGATAGGATCTGGCACTGTTTTTAAAAGGGGAAACTTGGCATATTGCCATAGAGCTATTTATAGTCACTTCCATCATGCAATGAAAATCTGACCTACTCTTCTTTTCAGCTTTGACACGTCTGACATCTAGTTTTTTGAATCAGAAATTATGATGAAAAAACATCATAAAAGCAACATGAAAAGCAAATAACCACTTGCAAAAAAAAGAAAGAAAAAAAAAGAAAAAAGCAGCCACAGCTGTGATAATGTCAGCAGTGAAGGTTAACCTCTAACTACAGCAGTCTGGTGAGCTTGCTCTTTTATTTGTTGAACCAGCATGCAGGGCTGGCATTCCATGTCATCGTCTGTAATACTATACTGCTGGGATATGATTAGCTACTTAAGGGCACGTAATTTGCAGTGTGTAACTCCACTGACCAGAAGGAAGCGAATTCTAAACTTACCCCGACACACAATGAGAAACAGGTCTTAAACAGCCAGCAAGCAAACTCACATGCTTTATAACCGCAGCCCTTTCTGCAACTGAAACCTGAGAAAAGCTGGGAGAAGCTGTCCATCACAATGAGCCAGGTCTTCTCTGAGAATATGAGGAAGAGCAGAATGGCACTACTAAACAAAGCCAAAGTTAACGCAGGCCCTTATTTAGTGTAACTTTCATACACGTATTTCTTCAGATCTACCATGGAAAACAGAATTTGCAAAAGCACTGCCCAAAGAATAAAACATATCTTTGGTGTTTATTTTACCTGGACGGCCCCACTGGAGAAGAGCGGTAGCAGAGGGGAGAACTGGCCTCCAAAACAAGCATTGTATTTAGATGCTGAGACCAAGCACTGTGTAAATGTGTGCGTACGAAGGCAAATCACAACCAGTTAGACTTCATAATGGGGGGAAAAAAGTAGCATTACATCTGAAATACTGACATCTCAGTTACTGATACCTTTGCTAATAAACATAACCAGAGACCTAGACTAATTTGCCTGGGCATTAGTTAGAGCAACGTTCGATTTACATTGATCCCCTCAAAGGCTACAAAACATCTTGCCAGCTTCCACAGCATCTTCATTTTTCCAGATAAAAATTCTGACTACCTGAGAAATCAAGCCTCGTTTCCCTGAATGAGGTTTGCATCTTCACCACGGTCATCCTGGGAACATGCTCAACCCTCCAGAATAGTAAACAGTGTAGTTTATTCTTGCCAAAGCTACAGTAGACATGAACTTTTATATCACTAGGGGGAAAAAGTTCCCTTCTGAACTATGAAGAGTCTGTTATACGATCCACTGAAATGAATGGAAATATTACTCATCACTTAAGTTTTACGCCAAATATAAAAGGCTGAATCTTAAGAACTGACTTTTGTTTAGGAGAACGGGTGCTAGGAGCTAAGGAATATTTGACCTGCGGAAATTGGGGAAGATAACTGGCCCCTTCAGTTGTCCCTAAAGTGCCAAGCAAAGCTCAGATGCACGAGATACCTAGGGCCACATATTTTCCCGTTTCTCATGTTTCAGGGAAAAAAACCCAAACAAACAAACTTTCTTTTCTTTGTTAGAATAAAAAACACCCAAAAAAGGAGCATAAACCAATCGCAGATTTGCCTTTTGCTGAGCTCTGAGGAAACTGATACCTGGATCTGAGTTTCACACCATCAGCCTGCCTCTAGTTTCTTTTTTCTAAAGTAATATCCTGTTTTAATGGATACCGTCTTAACTCTGAATACAGATCCACAACTTTCTGCAACAGCAGGTCTCACAGGAACACTGTCAAGAGCAACAGCAGAAATCTTGCAAGTTTTCACATGTTTCATGCTCACAATCTGAAAGGCTGCCAAAGAAATGATGATGTGCATCGTGACAAACCTAGTGGGTTTAAAATTATTCACTCAAAAGGGTGAGTGATTTGTGCCGGGTAAATGTTACACTGCCAGTTGCACAAAATGCTTCATGACCAAAAGACAGTCGACTACTGCAATAAGTATGGGATGCAGAGCAAACACAACCTGAACTTCAGCACTAGACGCTGCTATGCTACACAGTTACTTTTTAACAGAAGGCCATGGAAAGGGAAAATTTTTTATTTCAGTTATAACTCCCTTGCAATTCTAAATAATCTTTCTAAAAATAAAAATTTAAATAATTTAAACAGCACACACACACTTGCATTGTCACATAGACCACTGCTGGTCCAGAAGGCTCATTTTTGAGACCTACTAACCCTTTTCTTGAAAGAAAAGGCTTTTAGGAAAGTAAACGCAGCCCCACCAGTTGAACTCCTCTCAAGTCCAGAGGTTAGAAGAGGGAAAGGGTAACCACGGGTTCCTGTTGTGCAGGCACAGGCTGGCACTGAGCACCAAGAGCGGTTGCCATTGCTCCAGCTGGGTAGACCTGGTCCTCACACAGGGACCTCTAGCCAGGACTGTCAGTGTCAGACCCCTTGCATTTGGAACAAGCGTGATAGATGTGGTTTTAACTCCTACCTGGTAAAAATAAATCTTCTTGCATTTCTGCTCTGGCTTCTTCAGAGAAGCATCGTTTTTTCAACCATTCAGCTTCATATTCACTTGCATGTTCATCGGGCCATGTAATATAGATCTTCCAACATAAAACAAAAGATAATTTTAGAATTAAAAAATTCAAAAAACACCACCTAGAACAACCAAAAAACCCTTTAGAAATTGCAGAAATTGTAATATTTAGATCAATAATATCACAGTTATGCTTTCCCTAGGGCATAATGGCAAACAAGTAATGAAAACCCAGACTGAACATCATCCTAATTCTGACACCTTTTATAAATGGTCATTTTCACATGAACCCATGACCTAATTTGCTGTTTTGTGTGGGCCGCTTTACTGTGGGAGCTGCACTTAGCAGAAAGAGGAGAATCACAGAAGCTGGCACATATCACTGGGGAGAGCGCTTCACCACAACTCAGAAGAGAGCAAAAATATCTTCCAAAACACTGACAGCTTGTTAAAAAAGAAAAAGGACAAGAAAGGCAAAAAAGAAATGCTAGGAGAGAAATCCCTCTCCTAGTTTTGAAAAGTCTTCCCTCTTTCAAATTAACTTTAAAAAGGTGTTGGGTTTTTTAATTCCTGGAAAAAACATGGAAAGAAAGCATATTACTTTGCTTGTCATGAACTGAAAGAGCTCAGTGCAGCACACACTCTCAGCTAAATTCTCAAGGCTGTTGAGTAGGTATTGATTCCCATTTCACAAAATTCTGCTTGTTCACATGATGGTAAAACACCAGTATCAGTTTAGGATTGGTGCTGTGCTTTCACCAGTTCCTGAGTATAAGTGGAAGTACACAATCCCTCTATTATCATAATACATTTGCCTATTCAAAGCATGAATTTACATGGCATTAATTTTGGTGACACACAATCAACTTGGGAGCCCAGAATTCCTCAATACAGACCCTTACCCTTGCGGCTGAGCCATGCTCCCGCATGGGCCAGCCTCTGCAAACTCACCCTGCAGCGAGGCTGCCCCAGCTGCTGCAGGGTTGACTGCTGCATCTTTAACATGTTTGAAACCTCTTTAAGTGTAAAATGAAGGAAATGAGTTTGCATATCAAAGAAGCCATGTACTGCTTTTAATAAAACCTATAAAATCTAAATGATATATTAAGTTCTTCTATGGCAGGAAAGATTAAAATTCATAGGGAGGGCAGTTCCTGTCCTCTCTTGCCCGATAGCCTCCTCTTTTTCATAAACAAATGTTAATGTAGATAGGTAGATACAAACATAGATACAGACACTAGGCCAACTCTGAATATTGGGTTCAACTTTGGTTTGAGTGCTTGCTCTAAGATGAAGTCTTTTGCACATTAGAAATTAGTTAATAAACTGATAAT